CTGTTATACAAACATCCAAACTAGGGGCGATATTGCTTGCTTGCTTGCAGTTGCCGTCATTGATTACACCGAACAGCTAGTTCTCCGAGGTCAGCGGGTGATTTTAATTTTCTACGTAACAGCTTTCATGCTAACGTAAATTGCGGGAAGCAGAAGCCCGTGAGTCTGCCACTCCACTTTAAACCAGTGGCGCGAAACCGCTAGCTCCTAACATGTATATAATGTACTAACAACAAAATGACAAGTTAATGTGGAGAAGGAGAAAGCTGAGAGAGTAACCGGAAGTCATAATATTGCCAATGAGATTAGCAGTGAGAACAAGTGCTTACATTTTTATTCCTCTTATCAAGCGCATGAAACGCAATAATCCTTCTGTGGACAAGTGCTGACGTAACTAGGTTGCTTTATAAGATCATATGCCGTTTATAATAAAAGAAGTCTGGATTTACTAAGTCGTGAGTTCACTCTCTGCTATTGTCGCTGTCTTGCCCGTACAAAGCAACGTTTCAAACAGACTTCAGAGTCTGAAGTAGATGTACTCTTTTCTATAGGGGAGCAATATAAAATTATTTATGTTTATACGTATAAATAATTTTAATATATAAATTAATAATTTTTTATTTATATATAAGTACTTATAAAACATTTGAGAAAAAAAAACTCCAACATAAGAGGATCGAAACGAGAGAGACGTCTAGGAAAGGACGGGAAATAGATTTTATTAAACTCAGCCAAATGCAAAAATAGAACAACAAAAGAACCTCAAAAGTAGCTAAACGATAAAGGGTATAAGCTAAGGTATTAAACAACTAATTATAAATATGAAATACCGTATTCACTGCTGTTTTGGTCCGTATTTTGCTCTTATTTGCGCTTTCTTTTTGAAACAGATTTTCAACACATTTCTCACTCTTTTTTTTTCTGTCTTTTGTCCTGTTTCGAATCGCTCTTTCGTATTATCACGCTTTTTTTTCTATCTCAAACAAAGGTTTTTACTCTAGAAATTAGCGAAACTCTTATAAGCTATACATCGATTTCAAAACTCTCTTTTTGTGATATGGATAAAACGGTAGGCTTTAAAGAGCAATGATTTTCTGCCGGTATATAATTTCGAACTGTTAGTAGCGTTCTATTGTTCTGGGACGTTAAATAATTCGCTTGTGTTATTAAACATAATAGTACCGTAAGTTTACTACACGCGTGAACGTCAGCCTACGAGCAAGAAAGTGTTGATCGACTGTGCGACGTGCAATGAGCATGTATCGTACCTAAACGGGGAACGACGGACGTGAACGCGTTTCGTCCTACAATGCGCAGTTTCCCGTATACTGTCAATTGTTGTTGTTGTTGTTGTTGTTGTTGTTGTTCATTAGAATTTCGTTCGTCAATCATTTCATTATTGTCACGGTCACAGCGCCGGTCGTCACAATCAGGAGATTTTTGCTCATTTCAACAGTACTACTTAATAATGGCAGACCTAGTGCCGTTGCTATTTACATTATCGCGAAAGGCTGTCGCCGCTGTCCGGTAGCACTGACGGTGAAAGAAAGCCTGTCGAGTCGTGTTCGAGTGTGACATATACTATACGATGTAGCCACGTTCGTCATGGAAATTTGACTCGTTCGTTTCACTTTGGCTCCTTCCCATCTGTTTCGGTAATTGGTAGTATCATACTTAGTAGTAGCATTAGCGTTCCACCTCTATAATGCTATAAGTTTACCGCAGTCGTAGTAAAATGGCCATCTTCCACGACCATTCTCCCAATGGTGTGTAATGTTGTGCCTCTGCAATCGCACTACGGTTATTTCGCCCATTTAATTTTTGTCCCCTGATGCAGGCCTGACGTGATACGTGTACAAAATCCACCACTTAAGATGGAGTCTTCGTGAAGAGAAGGTCGAAGCTGATAATGCATCACTTGCAGCCGACAGATGTGTGCGCCGGCGATTAACGATGTCTCATAAGACCTACTTTATTCATTATGTACACATCATAGACCTTTATATATATATTCACTGGCTATGAGCGTATGATTGAAATAACATCGATGGACAAGCGGAGGATAACATATCGGAAAAGCCATTAGGAAACGATGCGTAAAAATAATTTGGCGGAGAATAAACAGCTTGTCGCTGCTGTTGGCTTTTTTCGTAATATAATAGTATATGACATTATGTACAGGGACATATAATCGTACAAGGAAGCAAAGTCGATAGCCTAAGTCCAGCCACGTGGTTGAGGTTCTTGCTAATTACATTTATGACTCTTCTATCGACTTGCTGATATTATAATGCGATAATAACTTAACTTCAAATGTATCTACCGAGATGTATCATCGTGGACGAGCGTTCACATGATCTGAGAACTTCCTCTAACTTGCTAACAGGACCATCTGAATATAATAAATGTATATGTACTAATACATATTCGTGTTTTTTTGAAAAGGTTACGTAAAATGAAACCTATGAATAACATTGATTTATCGTAAAGCAAAAAGAGATCGTTCACGTACGGTCACAAGTTTTGCTAAAACACCCCTTTTAGTTTTGCATTTGGTCACAGTAGCATTAACTTTCTCAGTAGCTTGAGGCGATCAACTGTAGGTGCAAGTTTAACTAGACTTCTATCACATTGGCGCCCTGCTTTGTATATGGACTCTTTCTTATTCGTTAATTATATGTACGAAGCAACTTAACGTATAAATTAAAATCTCATACGTAAAAAGAGTTTGTAGAGTCCGGTTTCGTTAAATAGTATCTGTCCATAAAAGTGAAAATTACTACTTAAGCGTACTTCGTCTACAGAGTTATTCGTCCATATACAAGAATATCTCATCAAAATGGAGATTTTTCAATTTTTGGAATTGAGAAATGAGTGGCATAATCTGAAACTGCTATGCTTAAATAGCAGCTGGGCTCCTACCTATGGAGTATGACTACATGGCGTTTGCTTTCACAATATGAATCTTAAAAGCTTCGAAATGACCATTTTGTCCTCACGACCCAAGACAAAATGAACACGAGCTTCGAATAAAGTGGGCAGATGAAAAATCGAGGTTTCCTTGCGTTAAAGTATCATTTATTTGAAAAGATATGAAAACAATATTACAAAACTAGATGTTACCGTAACTTAGATTGTGTCAGCTTTCCGGCTTCCTGCTGCCTACTTAGCATGATATCCACTGTCGAAATCTATGGCTTATATCCAATCCGTCAGCGTTCGTAATATAGTCTTGGTCGGTAGTGGATACGTTCCTCCTTTAGCAGACAGAAATATTCTGACTTAATAGTCTGTATATGTTTTATTAGAAATATTTATTCAAAAATGAGTATTTCGAATAAGGCGGCCTTTGCTAACAAAACATTTATGCAAAATTAAGGTATACTTAAGGTGGTAAAACCGGGTATATGATTAATAATTGTTTAAAAATGCGCCTTAAATGCTTGAGTAGGTAGAAACCAACGGTGAATTCGCACTGCGATTTAAGCATTTATGTTAGTTGCTCCGCGGACAACAGCATAAGCCCCAGCTATGGAAGCAATTTACCTACGACTGCGTGGCTTATTTGTTTGTTTCCTAGGCTTTATAACAAATGTTAATATATATTTGGAACTATCGACAAGAAAATGTAAAAAAACTGTATCCTCTCAGGCTTTCTCCAATATTCAATGCATTTATGTCAATGAGTCGTGTGGGCAACTGATCTTTTCGGAGACAACCAGGCGGCCGTCAGCTCGGTGTTAGCCTGCATCAAATGCGGTCTTTGTGTCTGTACGTCCACGTGCGATATGTGTATAAACGACGTCATCTCAGACGCGTGTTTTCTTCCGTCAGTATTTCTTTCCGTTACCGGACAGCGCTCGACGTCTTTGGTGACGGTGGATTCAGGCCCAATTCAGATTGTCTAAAAGGCCCCCATCGATCCAATTACGGATTCTTTTAGATTCCAAAAACTGTGTCGTGACAGACACCATCAAACCCTGGAGGTGGGAAGATACAGCGCGACGACTGCGATGAAGCTACTGCAGGTTAAGAGAACTGCCGACCAACCGTCGATCACTGAGACGGAAAATGGGGCGGGGCGGGGGGGAGAAGTTGGTTGAGTTGGTGAAACCATTCTATTATTTTTGTCGCTACAAAATGCTTTGTCAAAATCAATTTTCTATTTCGAACATTAAATAAATAGGTTATAAATTCCCTTAAAGCTTCATCATAATTATTAGTCTATATCCGTGATTATAGTTTTGCTCTTTCTCAGTTACCTTTGTCGTCTTAGTTCGAACTCATGTTCATTTCCTTTGTCTGTTCCTTCGTTCTCTGGAGCTGCGAACACTGCTGCTGCCATGGCCGCTATTGCTCCTACAGTACCCTCGTTTCCTTTGCCTTTGTACATATATATATATATATATATATATATATATATATATATATAGGAACAATTTAAAGAAATTATTTGCGTGAGTTGCCCGCCGGGCGATAGATCGAAGGACATATTATGATGTTTTGTCGCAAACGCCGGTGCCCGTCTTCGATGGACGAACCAACGAACGATCGAACCAATGAAAGTCCTTGTTTCTGGGTCATAGAATGCTGATGACGGCGGCGTCACCCCAGTGCTGGTAGCGATGCCGTTCCTTCTACGCAGTCGCAATTTGTGTTCTGCGTCTACGTTTACGTCTGCCTCTGTCGGGGCTAGAAGCTCCCTCAGCTATGTGCTGTTATACCTCCTCTCTGCAACACGCCGACGTTCTTCGATTCAGACCCCGCAGTTCGGCACCACGTTGATAGTTGTTGCCACAAACTGTGTCTGGTTTGCGGATGCATGTACGCAAAGACGTCAGGCAAACCTATTTATTTAGCTGCCTACATTCGGCTGACTAACTTAATTGTTGGCTCTGTGAGAAGACGCGACTGAGTCCGGATTTTCGGGCTACGACAGTAACGACTGAGATAATCTGGAACAAGGAAAGACACGAGAAGAACTTTTCCGACGACGATAGCCATTTCACTAGAGATTGTCCACCATCGTATCAAAACGAAGTCCGTTGTCGAGCCATAAAATAGCAGAAAAAAGAAAGCAGAAAAAAACACACAGATCAACGTGTTATAGGGTCCTAAAATAGGGCGTGTGTAAACTTACGCTCAAAGGGTGGACAAAAAGTGCATCTACACATAACTGACCAAAAAGGACTACATCTGTAACGTGAACAAGGACAATTTTTCTTTGGTCTGAAAGGCACGAGTAGTGAGGCAGCTTTTGGATTCTTCTTTATTCGAGAGGTGAAGGTCTAATAAAAAGACTCGGAACGCTGTAGAGGTAAGTTCATGGAAGTTACTTGTTAAATCATAGCGTTCTAACTTATACTCTGTTGTTGACTTCTCTAGTGAATCGGAGCCTAAAATGGCACAAGACAATGGAAGCACTAACAGACTCCTATGTTTAACTGATTCAATGCTATATGCCATAAAATGAGCTACGTTCCTATTTAATACAAATATCGAAGCTATAAGACGCTGAGGTTAGTGTTTCTTAAGCTATTCGATAGTTTATACAGTACGAAAGAGCCCTTTACGTTGGGAATTTAAAAAAATCTAAGGGATCAAGTTAAGGGAAGGCTAAGGAATTAAGTTCCCGAGCCAATACGATCTGTAGGAAAAATAGACGCGATACTTTGGACAAACGTAAAACAGTTATAATACTATATTTTCGATAATTAGTTGCTGCTAGTTCACCTTAACTGTCATATCTAAAATATACCACGATGAAAGTGTAATAATATACATATTCTAAAAAAATGTTTGCACTGACGTATCAAAGGTTCGTGTTTGTGACGGAAGGGTCTCTAAACGAGAAAAAAGCGGCTCCACCAATGCGTTTCATTAATAGGGCATGTCATAATATCATTATCGGCCGGCAACAAGTATTATAGTATCGAGAGGAGGCCTTGAGACGTACCGTTCTCTTTGTTTCGTGGACGCTCTCTTTGTTTTGTAACGTGTGTCGTCCGTCAATCCCTAAAACAGTTCATACTGTTTACGAACTTGGACCTTGTCACATGTGTGAAGTTACAACAGCCAATCATTAATGCAAGATGTTGGCCTAGGAATCTCCTTAAGGGACGAAACTTTATTGTAGTTGAAAATAAGTAGCAGGTTCCTTGCCGTGCAAATACTGGCGCCGCAAAAGCTTCACTATTATAGCACATTCCATAATATAACTACTACTTTCCGTTTTTCAATGTTTTCACACACGATCGTTAAGTTGTCCCAGCAAATAATACCTAACAGAAAAACCTCAGAAAAAACAGAAATAATGTGTGTGACAATCTTTCAGCATTAGTTTTTGAACTATTGTGTGTACTAGTAGTACATAAAAATATCTCTAATCGAACTACTAATTGTATTGTTACTGGGCAGGATACATTTTCCTGCGGCGTATCTAGCTGCTAATTAATTCGAATAGAGGTGAAACGCTAGAAATTTTAAGACGCCACCTGATTATACACTTTTGATGACACAGTTTGCTCACCTTTTACCAATTGCGACACTTGTGGTCAAAAATAGAAGTTATTCTTTGTTGCTGACTTGTCAAACTGCAACAAAATACTCATTTATTGTTATTTCTAAGTACGTAGCCAGGGTTATGTCAGACTTCGGAAAACTAAGCAGAAAACGCTCAAATAACCCATTCACCCGGCGGCCCATTTATGATCAGTGGTTCGCCGCAGGCCGATCTACTTGAGGCAAAGGTTGGACATCTCAAGATAAACTATCACTCTCACTTTTTTTTTTACATCATCGCGTTTTTACTGTACGAGGTCACAGAAGGTCATGCCTCGAATTCATAGGTGCAGCACGAGCCCTATTTATTATGTCATTGAACCAAGTATATTCACCGCTGCTTCTGCTGCTGTCGTAACTGCAGCTACAGATGATGCAATAGCAATGTCAGCTGAGACAGCAACTCTATGTACGGTGCCACATTATAGGGTCATCGGGGAACTTAATACACAATAACAGTAACGAAAATTGCTCAAAGGCTTCTACCGCTTATGTCGTTTAAGTAAATATATCTAGCAGTACGACAGATATTTGGAGTAAAGTTAACAGTACATAAATACAATTCCCAAATGCGACATGAAGAGGGCTCGTTGTCTGGCGGTTCGAGTAGATAAAATATGTTCAGCGCAGGTGGTTTTTATTAGCTAGCAAATTTAACGGTTCAGTATATAGTAGCCTTATAATTCTTAAAGGTAACCCCGTAGCACTGAACACGAATAGTAACAGTTCGGAGCACAATTAAAAAACTAAGTTTTAATTCCGGCTACATGTCTGGCTGCGTACTTTTATCGTACGCTTGAGACGTACTGCATCGTATGCTTGGACTGACGCTTTATAAGGTACCTTCGAGTGCATAATCTTCGCTTCGTAGATAGAGCAACCTTCTTTGAAAAATCTTTCGATGAAATATGGCCCATTCAAGTTGAGTTGAGAAGTTATCAAACTCCTCCTTTATTGCGGTACGTTACACATTCTATACGACCAGGCGGAGAAACTTGTTGTTTTTTCTATTCTTTATATTTTTGTTGGCAGGTTTCGATGTTCTACAAATTTGTACCCAGGCACCTCTGTACCCGTTCGGTTGCTAAGTACACGCATTCATCACTGTGTCATCATCGCGGAGGCGTAGCCGAAAAAAGCAGTATGCACCATTTTATCATCTAAGACCCGAAACCTCATCCAAAGATATCAGTAATAAGAATCATTACCTTGCCATACTTGCTTAACTTCTTCACCCGTTGCGTTGAACATTTTTTCCTTTAATGCAACAAAGGCGATCCTAAACTTAAATTCGGCACAAAAAGATATGAAGCAACTCACGGCGCGCGCATTGTGTAAAACGTTCTTAAGAAATGTTGTACACAAACACGAAGTGACGATAGGCGTCGGTAGATCTAAAATTTTCTGTCTTTCGTTCATGAGTTTAGATTCCTGATCCCTTCCATATTATATTTATTTTGTTGAGCTATCTCGTATATTGATTCGCTAAAGATTCTCAGCATTGATACGGCAAGGAGAAAGTAATGTGAATGTGCTTATTTTTCCACATTTCGATATACCGTCGTTTTTATTGTCACTAAACTCATTATTGTACCTATCATTAGTCATTTTGAAATTCGTCAGTCCAGCTATCCTACAATATGTCCACACATATATATGAAACCTTTATGATCCGCAGAACGGAACATCCTGCCGGGTCTGTTTGCAGCTTAACACCATCTTGTCTATACAATTTAAACAGAACCGCCAATTGCAAAGGAAAACGCATACAGAGTTTCCTGTTAATGCCAACGGCAAACGGCTACTAGCAGACGACGTACCGGAGGCGAAACAAAGGGAGTAGGGCTCGTTTCTCTGCTCTCCCCGCCAACGTCGTTCGCCCAGTAGCAACAAAAACACGACCAGCAGTAGTAGCATTACAAGCAACAGCGGAAGCAGTAACATTTCTCAGTGATTCTGAATGCGTCATCTGAATGCCACGCCATCTGGCGTCACTATATAAACTCATGTGATGCTTGTGACCACTTTCACACGGTGCATACAGCTGCCACCGTCATCATCAACACTGCCGGTTCTCTGACGTCGAAGCAGCGGTAGCAAAGCGCGAGTCTCCCTGCTGGGCCTCTACTTTGCGGTACTGGTACTGGCATATAATAACCGGGTTTTTCGTTTTGCTAGCGACGTACTTCGTCGAAGACGGTGATGGTTAAAAGCAAATAAGTTCCCGCTTCGACGACGAGATACATTCTACTTCGATGATTAAAAGTACTCGTAGCGGCGGTATTCTTTCTGCGTTTTTTTCGATGAACGGCCGAGATCGCAAGAAACGTGGTATGACACCACCGGTGCAGCGTCAATACTGCGGCATAGTAACCGGTTTATAGCCAATGCTGCAATGTAATTGTTCAGTTTTCAAGCTGTTGCTGACGTCGACACAATGACACAGGACAAGACTACGCCTCACACAAAGTCAATATAGTCCAATTGCACACGAATAACTGAAGCACTCTGTTTTTGCTGAAAATTCCGTAATTTCATACGCAGCACACGTTCTAAGCAGACCGCAGAAGAACCAATAAGCAGTATTATCGATCAAAGCTATATACAGAATAGTAAGCTATGTACAGCAAGGATCTGAGAAGGAAAAAACGATAAAGGATGGATGAGCAAGGGGAAAGAGAAAAGCTGATTTAGGCTTTCTCAAGTGTGTACATCATGGATGTATTTAACATGTGCGCTTAATAGACCTTTAAAGAGCGCTGTTTCAAATTAGCACATACTTGTTACACTACATTTTATACCGAAAACATTATATATATATATAGTCTATACGGCGTGCGTATATGAGTGGCGCGTCTTTTATTGGCTAGCTTAAGTTGCATACTACAACGGTAGACGCCAAATGACAAATGAATGCCGAGAGGTTGCATTCCCGGGGGACCGTAAAGATACTTTTTAGTTCTAATGGCTACTAGCATTCTACTCTCTATCCATATCTATGATAGAAATATGGCTTTGGACAATATAGTGGTGTTAAAAAAAATTGCCATATTTCTAAAAAACAATTATTACGTACAAAATTGATGCGAAGTTACACTTTCTTTTGGCATGTCATCTTATAATTGTGGTGACTATGCCAAAAAATTTGTCTACGTGTTAGTGCAATAGGTAACGTCTTGGCGTGATAAAGTTAGAAATGTATGATGGTCTAAGTTGAAATCCGGGCGTAGACACATTTCGGTGCTGCAAGCGGCCAGCTGTCTTAAGTGATGTCTAACGGCGTGTGAATACAGGATGTAAAACACGGAAAAAAATAGAAGGAAAGATCTAATGGCTTACCCATCAGTCTCTGGTCGACTTATACGAAATGACACACAAGCTCAGATATTTCAAAGAGAAGTATTTGGTCTAAGATGCTAAACGACGTTCGAGAACTTATCACTACGTCTACTAGCCGGCCTTCATAATCCGCCCATCGCCAAAATCTGAAGATAATCTCAAACGATTGAGCCTATCGTCTGCCATGGCACCAGAACATTCGTCAAGACCCTTTTGCGACAGGCGTTATCTATGGACTATAATGATAAGCATATAATAATGCTAATAACGATAAGAACCAGTCGAAATGTAGATATGTTCAAAGAAGGTTGAATCTAATGCCACAGGGCAAAACATTGAGGCATATATCTTGGCTTGACAAACCAAACCCACAGATCTCGCCCTAACGGTATTTAAATAGTTTCATTCAAAGTTGTGCGTCTTGACTAATAGTTATATTCCTATTCCTGGCGCAAATGATGTTTGAGGGCCTAATTGCTCAACCTTCGTATAGTAAAAATGTTAGACAAAAAACATTAGGAATTTTGCTGAAACTGATAACTTTTTCGTTGGTTAGCTCTGTTTCGACAAATTTAAACTTTGATGTTTTTGGAAAGTATCTTGATTGTCGTTGTATGACGCTTTATATTATGGCAGCGCGGAAAGTTTTTGTTGCCACAGAAAAGCGGAAAAGCGGAGTGATCTTTGTTCACATATGAACTCAAGTGGCTCGTTTTGAATGCATTTTTTTTTTATCAAGACCTTTTGTTTGTGTCATTGTTCAGTCTGGTGAACGAAATCTTATATCTAAAGAATATCTTACCACCGTTTAAAAATAACGTAAGGGCTGTAAAACAAAATTTATAGATATTCTTTGTGGACACACTTTTTTTTAAGTTATAGCTCTATATGATAGATAATTTATATAGGTTATAAAGCTAAATTACAGATCTAATTTCCATAAACGTAGCAGATTGCCTATATTTTTGTCGTGATATAGATCGGTAGTGTTCTTTATAAAAAAGCTATGACAAGCATACACGCACAGACAACACAAAGTGTTGTCGATAAAAGAGGTGACAAATGCAACAAATTACATGCCCGATCATAAGGGGTACTCCTATTGGTATGTGTAAGTTTCAACGTATCTGCCTACAATGGCTTGTTTCGATAGGCAGACAATGACTACTTTAAAATATTCTCTCATACATAACTGATACTGCTGTTGTGTGATGGACGCCTATAACAGATGGAGCAACGTCAGAAGCACAAAAAACCAGCGGTAGAATCGTCAGCAAACCCTGGTCGAACAGATAATGATGTGTGAAGATATCTCGCAAAATTCATTATTGCAACGTGGACTACTACAGACTAGTCGCACCCTCGTGGAAGCCGCTGGCTAAACAGTCACGAATTTCATTTGCTTTTATAACGTTCCCCATTTACAGATATTGCATAATACTAATAATAATAACAACTTTTAAACGAGGAACACAAACGTAAACAATTGGCACATGTTGGACACTGCAAATGGGGAAGGCCAAAAAATTTCAAAAATTGCCGCCTTATTTATAGCCTTTCGAATGGGCCCGTTGCAACACAAATATTCACACAAATGCTCTAGCAGAAGACAAAAGTAGAGAAATTTACACAATACTTTCGAAGATAATAAAACCAATTTGAAATCAATGTTTTTGTTGAACATAAGCTACGTGAGAATGTCTCCATCTGGCATGCGTTTTGTGTAGAAAGACTATGGTCTGAGCTGGCGAGTGTCGCAGCCATGAATGAATCGAATTGAATCCAGTCGAGAGAGAAGTTAGAACGAAAATTCAGCGATGAGCAAATGTATCTTGCGTTATGTAAAGAAATTTACTAAGAGTCGTAGCAATACGCCAGTTGACTTGACCGTTGTATGGCCATCGTGCATAAATGAATAATATATTGAAGAAAAACAGTGGCCGTTTAATTATACCAGAATTATTGTATAATTTCCAAAAATCCTAAAACTGCCATAATAAATAGGATTAACATTGCTATCTCGATCTACATGTGCAAACCGAATCGTCCGGCCAACAACTTTTCATTTATCTGAGACGACAAACTCTATATATTATCTATGGATACCAAAACCTTTTTTCTACCTTCGAAATAGATTTTTGAGCTCTACGGCTGGCACCGCCGTTAGACAGTTACTTCAGAGACTGCTGCCTTCCAACATGGACCGAAATGTACCTATGCCAATATTGAACCTAGGCCACTACGTGCCCCTAAGGCAAGCACGTTACCCATTAAGCTGTCAGCCTTATCCTCTGCCTACTTACTACTTGCTCCAACTGCTCACAGCTAACAAACGAACGCAGCGACCTCACGTATAATCGCAGTATATCACACGCGACAACGTAGATCCGATTCTTATTTGAAGCACTTAGACAGTAATAATAATGATGTACATAATATTTTTCACAATGACAGGACAGGGATATTTTTGTTTGCCGTCTTCAATGAATAATTGCTCAAGATAATGAATAGTTTTGAGAATGTGAGAGCGCTTAGGCCATTGAGAAATTCCGACAACTATCCCCCTTCGAAAGAAGCGTAGGAGCGCATTGATCGTCAGCTGGGTATAGCTCATAGTAGTACAAATCTAAACAGCACAGGGCTTCAGAAGAGATAATATTAATGAATTACAAAAAAACACAGTATATGTAGAAAAAATGGTAGTCTGGTTGTGGCGATGAAAAGGAATGGCATTACAGTCGCAAGCGTATTGCAGGTTAACGAGGAAGCGTTTGTTTTTGGTCGTTTATTAATTACCAGACCGACGTCACAGCTTGCTAGAGACCAAAGAGGACCGTTATTTTAATAGAGCTATCGGCTAAAAAGCGATATTCCATTGTTTTCTATTCTATGCTATAAGTGAGTCGTTATATTTCGATCACGACACGCTGCCCGAGGAACGTCTTGTACACTTTTCTTTGCCTAACCTCCCAAGTTACACAATAATTAGTTACACACGTAATATAGTCTTATATTGAAGCTTCTATATCTGTATCAGTCGTGTAAAATTCCCTGATTCAGAGAAGCAGCGATACCATAGGACGACTAAATCATGTAATTTAGATTTCTGTCACAAAGGAACTGCTTCGTATTGAAAATTTCGACAAAGCATATTCTAAAGCTGCAACTACCGTTGGCGCGCAGACTAGCGTGTCTTTTTAGTAAGAAACGAACAACTTCTAAATAATGTTAAAAACCAGCCGAAGCGAAAGGCGAAGTTCCGTCATTGACGGAACACTGTCCCCTACAACCGATCGGCCCAGTCACGCCGTCGCTGTTTCACATCGCAATTCGCCGTAATCACCGATCGAAATTTGTCCTAAGCAGGCAACATATTCCGTCTAAGATCGGAGACACATTTCGCATGAGTCCCATACTTCGGTTGGCGTTTTTGGCACGCATCCGCCCCGCGTTAACATCGCCATCATCGACTCCGTGTACCACTCAGTCCCACTCGGCTCAACTTCAAAACACCCTATCCATCCACTCCCCATTCCTAAAATTCTCAGCGATGCCGCCCCGCTCTCCGTGTTCCTTTTGCATAGCTTCACGACGGCACCTCAGTTCCAAAATTATCGTTACTATCGCTACGGCGACTGACGGTCGAGTAAGTCTCCGTTTGGGCCCAAACGTTCTTCTATATGTTAATCTATATACAAATCTTGTTGACGCTTTCTTGCGAGAACATAGTCGGAGGTAGAGCGTTCCCGTTGTCTTATAATGGTTATTACACCAGCGGTAGCAACAATATATACATACATATATATGATATATATATATACATATAGTGATGTGATCATGCGATACGCTACCACCGCTGACGCGGTAGCAAGCCGATGTTATCCTCGTTATCAGCGGTCGTTCTTTGGCAATGCCTTTGGGTCGTTAGTTGTGCCGGTTTTACTCAATGAAATCGCCAAAGACCGTGAACGTCCAAAGACACTAATAACAACAGTTGGCTTCGTGCTTTCGTAGAACATAGCAGAGGCAGCAATAAAAGACAAGCAGGAAAACTGCAACCTACATTTCCACTTCTCTTTCGGCGGGGAGATCATCGCTTTTATGCCAAAAAAAGAAACGTCACCAAATCCATCATGGCTGGCGCGAAAACGGACGCTGGTGTTGTTACCAGAATGATCGCGACTCCTGCGGTATCGGCAGCAGCAGGGACGAATGTATCGAAAGCGAATATAATATCTTACTGTGCAGTAACCGCGGCTATGATGCATCCGGCTAAACTAACTTATAGGTCTTCAATGGTCTGTTGTCGTACACTGTGATCTGAATGACCCGTTTAGGCCGGTTCGAGAACGAACACAACATGCTCCAGTGTCGAAACAGAAACCAAATACACAAGCGTACGAATGATGCCTGCATCTTCTATCGAATTTTTTCCTGCGGGGATCATCTTCAAGTGGACTTTAGGATCATTAGAACATTCGGGCACCCGTAGCACCAGCAGACGAGTAATCGTTTTTCGAACCGAGCAATGCCACTATTACATGCTTTATTATTGTTTTAGGTTACACGCGAATGAACATCGTTATAATGTCGTTACTCGGCTGGGTCGCTAGTGAAAAGGACCCTAGCGAAAATGTAAAAGGAAGAATTGTACTGACGAACGATTCGCCCGCGCTATTGGAAACGGGCTACCTGCCCAATAGTTTATTCTGTAAATGCTTCCCTTATTGTCATTTTCATTGCAATAAGGGTTGCAGATAGTTCCTATATTGATTTAGGAAAATCGTAAAACCTAGAAAAGATCGAGATTGCTACGTCCTCTTTGCTGCTGGTAACCACCATGCAAGTTGTCGTACCTGGTGTTATTGATCTGAATAGGGTCAATATAACAGGCTGACCTCTATAAATATTATAAAAAAAATAATAGCGTGAACTTTATCTGCAAATGCGATGGGAGCATGTTGAGGAATCCGATCAGCTAAATGTTTCACCGATTGGTTTCGTCCTGACGTAAGCTACATGAAAATCTAGCTGTTTGATTTTGTGAGCTTCACCTAGTCTCAGGTCTCAAGCCTGTAGACGATGCGAAGTGTCGCACGCTTGTTGCACGGGTCGATCAGTCTATGCAATATAGTTGCGATTTTGCAATGAGAATTTGTTACTTGTGCCGTGGTCTAATTGGACGAGCAAGCGAATGAAAGTATCACTATTTGGGCATGGCAGATTCCTAATGTTACTGACGGGCAACCACCCTATGGACCTAAAGGAACCGTATCGCGCATGCATGGGTTTGTTGCCGTCTTCGTCTGACATAGTGCCCTTCGATTTTTTCTTATAGAGTTTTCCTTCCAAAAACATGAGTAACAATAGAACTGCAATTCTGAGTAAGAACATATATAAGGCATAATGGGCGTAAGTTCTACCGTTCGTACTATGGCAAAATGATATTGACATAACGTATACTCGATAGACTACGTAGGGGACAAATAAGCCAGAAAAATGGCAGATTTGCCCTTGTCGAGCGTACATTTTGTTTACCTTGCTCACTAGTGAACTGCCAACGTGCCCAACACACGATATTAGTTTGGACAGAGTAGCCTAATTCACTTATATTTATAATACTGCACATATATCAAACTCGAGAGCTTGTAGAACTTAGGCTGCCCCATTATATATCTCTGCCAAAGCTAACTTAGCAAAAATAGTAGTGTTCGCTTTTACGTAGGGCGGAGCTTTCGACATATATGATGCAAAGTCATTCGGTGCCGCCTCGACCAGTTCACAATAATAATAATGATGACGCTAGTTGACGTACGTTTTTATCCGCTAGTGTTTTTGGTTATCCCAATTACTAAACCATAAAAAACTCGTTTGGTGTTTGTTCAATGGTGTGTTAACAGATGATGAAGGCGAGGGCGACCAGCGCCATGTTGGTGACAGCCATAGCCGTCGATGCGTTGGTGACAATTGCTTTGTTCGTCAGTGCTGTCGGCGTCAACGGAGCGTTAGATACATCGATGACGGGGCCTCGGCGAATTGAACGAGAAAATCGGCTCAAAAGTGACAGCCGACAAGGACGTACCTTGAATTCAGGTGAACTCAGTGGCATTATGGACTGGGAATACGGCGGTTGGCGGCCTCTTCAAACACCAAAGGGATTCTATCGACGGATTGCAAGAAATCTCTTCCGCGATGACGAAGGCAAAGGACCAAATGAGGTAAAAAGGAAAGAACCGAAACTGAAAGCGGAAAAGTTTTATTTTGATAGACGTTTAACCCAAGATGCATACATAAAGTTAGAAGAAAAACAAATAAAGCGAGACTTACAATGAAATATTAAAATTATAATTATAATTAAAATTTAAATTATAATTATTATAATAAAACCTAATACTACTAAACAAACGTTGATCCCTATTCTACTTTATGCTTCTAGCTGTGAATTATATCCAGATTTTTCTGGCTCATATAAAAGCGGTCAGTATACACATAGCTTACAGTCTACATATAAGAACATAAAGCTCTTATATAAAGCTTTATATATGTGTATATATATAAATTGGCAGAATTTCCAGTTGTTCCCAAAGGGGTTTTTGCGCATCCTCCGTGACGCCGCAGATCACTGAAAATATATGTGTCTTGTTCCCTTCGTCAACGCCGTATAGCTTGTCGGTAATTCGGGATATGAAGGAATCATAAAGAATGATCGGTATCATTCAAGAGATCCTGTCCCGCTCATACTTCGATCATGTGTTACTATTATCTGTTCAATCGGTTTTGATCATTGGCCTGTGGCAACAACGACATCCGATGTATGTATATATTGAGCTATCTGAGTTCGTATCTGTGTGTCTCGTGATGCTCTGTTGATATATAAGTGCGTCTGTGTGTCGTTCTTGCACTTGGCAACGCAGCCATTACCCGCGACCACTTCGATGACCACCGTCGCCGCTGATAGTGTAAAAACTAGATTCGTTCGACTGCATCTTGGGTTCCTTCTTCCAGTTTGCTATAGCCGACAAGTTGAGCAACAGTAATCACCAGTCAGCAACTCCATTCATATACATTCACTAGCAATTGAAATCAGCCGTAGGTAGCAGGCAAGAAGCGCTACTACGTTGAGCGCCGTTCTATCGAAACGAAGCGTTGTTGAGGTGAAGACTTATGGTGATGCCCGTAGGCTTCGTATGCGTCCGTCTGCGTGCGCACGTGCTTGCGTTCATTTACCCGGACTCGGCAAAACAGGAAATCAATATGACGTTCTCATCAACGACTGCCACGAAGGGGTTCGCCCGTCGCTTCCACGCAGACATTAGTACGTGTGTCATGGCTAGAATACTAATAGTAACACAAAGACAACTGTCGGAAACACAATGCAGATGTCACCGCCACCGCCATTTCATTCTCAGCATTTTCGGGCACTTCCGTTCAAGATACAAGTATCGAATGTGTTTACGCAAATTTTTTGTTGTTACTTTTTCTTCCTTACCGTTGGTATAATGTTCTCGCATCTGCAATAATCGCTCGGTGTATGCGTGTATGTGTGCCACCATATCTGCCGCAGTGATGCATTTTGGTACCGGTATAATTAAAGGGTGTTGTGGAAACTGAACATTAAATACTGGACAAAAAGGACGCCGCGTAGGGCACATGCACGGTAGCATCATCATTATACGCTTTGACCGCCATCATCGCTATTATAACAACAACAACTACTACGATTGCTATTGCTTTCGCTGTAGGAGAGCTCGTATTCGTTTCTCGTCGATCCTTTAGTTCTACTTGGATATGACCGCGACTCTACACATATAGATATACATGTGTGTACGTATGGCTTGTTCGGTTAATATACTTGCCGCTATAGCCCCCGGCGTCGATGAGCAATCAGACAAGTATAAAGAACGATATGCATTATGTATAAAACGTCCCAGTACAGACCGTGCGAGCCGGCTTCGCAGCTGGCCTTTTTCTAGAAGCTATATCGGGGTCTAGCATCAGGCCTCGATACTGTAACACAGTTTGTCGTAGGGCATATAGGTCAGAAGTATTGTTCGTCGCAGTTGAATCGAACGGGTGATGGCAGTGCAACGATTCAGGATTTAGCCACAGACGCATCATGGCAGTTGATACAACAGTCGCCGAGCTATCAGCTGAACGCCACTCGAGAGATGGGCCCAGAATTTACTTTAATGGCAAATGCGTTCCTTGTCATAATATATATGTAGGCATGGGACAGGCTTCGGTTCTTTATTCTTCGTTTTATGTTTTATTTTTTACTAGCTTCAAGTCGATCTTCAGACCTTTGTCCAATGGCGCTGTTGTTTACTACTCAACGACAACGCCTACTGAAGATTGGCGAACGTGCGATAATCGTTCGTATTTAGTATGTAAATATAGTTTCGACGTATTTACCCTACGGCAGATAACAATACACAATCAACAATATGCCATGCGAATCGTTTGAACCGGGATTCTGTCAAACAGATGGATATTCTATGCAAACTGACGCAAGCCAATGATTTTTTTTTTAATCATTTTTTAACGTCTTCATTCATGAATTCTTTGTACGTTTGAGGTTAATATAAACAGATATACACGCCGCACAAACTCCGGTGCTGTTTTACCGACACAAAGTTATCGTAATTAAATATTACTGCCGCTTGAGCTTTACTTGTGCCATAGGCTTTTAAGGAAACTTAGCATTGGCTCTTCCGAATTCGAGCAGCTAGTCTTTGGAGCAGTAAATAAATATAATTATACGCAACGGTACAGCTATAGAGAATCCTATAGGTTTATTAGCCTTATGAATGTTTTTCATTACCCTTCTCAAAGAGCTCAGTGGCGCTGTGATGTCCTGAATACTTACGACTGTTTCTTGATAACCATAAAAACCTTTCAAATACCTATTACTTTTTTTTTTATAGTTGGACAACGCGGGAGACTTGGAAGTGGCTTCTTCGAATAAAGTGTCATCATTCCATTTTCTCGGACTCGAGGATTTCCTTAGGAGTGAACCCGGATGCTGGGACTGTGGATTTCAGCCGTTAATATTCCTCCATGGGAGAGGTGAGTATCTCAATCGTTTGACACATTCGGACATCTCAATCGTTTCTTTTAAATTATTTGCTGTTAATTTTTTTTGGTCGATTTTCGGCCTTTAATAGCTCGTAGGCTCCAGTTTATTTTTAGTTTCTATACAATAATAACGGATAATTTGGTGTTCCGATCTGGTGTCTTTGTAATGACGCAGCGGCACCAGTAATTGGTTTGCGCCTAAGTAAACTGAAGGACCCCAACTCGAATGGAGTGGATTCAAAGTGGGTCTCGGGATGATGCATGTTAGCCTGTTAAACTGGATTCGAAATCGGACATAGACACGCTTCGGTATTGAAGACCAGTTTTCTAAAGCAAAGCTCAACACTTACTGTACTAGACGTAAAATTCAAAACGTTTGTTTAAATGTGTCACCCTATGTAACTATTTAGCTGTTGAAGCAAACATAGAATCGGCTCAAAAGATTTAATTTGAATTTTTATTAGTTTGCGTTAATGAAGGGGCAAAAGTCATAAGAATAAATCGAGGATCTCTCGTACTTTACTCGCTGTTGATATTGTTAGACGATACGTGATTACGAGTATTTTAGGTAGATGGAGAGCATATATTCCAGAATTTTGTATATTTGCAGAAATATGTCTTGCTTAGATTGAAATTTCAGGTTTGTATCTCCTCGATTTTAATATGAGGTCCATTGATATATTTAGGGCCTCGAAAAATCCGGTCAACATCATTGCACGCTGGGTTCGAAAATCCCCAAACATTGGATACTCATCGCGAAGTGAATATTGATATCCGTGATTCTGTCAAAAAAAAACTTCGTAAAAAAAAGATTGGTGCCTCCTTAAGACGGTCAAAGCGCAGTTTGAGCAGCACCGGTAATGCGATTCCAACAGAAACTGCTGTCAGCAATTATATGACTGGCAAGCTTATTGAAAGTGAGCCTTCCAAAGAACAGGAGTATATTAAAAGCGAAGCTCTTGATGAAGCAAAAGGTGACAGAATTACGCCAAGTGACGAGGAGCCTCACTACCTCAGTGCCAAAAGCATTTTCTCATTAGCAAAGGGCATTGCGGAAGCACTGACCATCAGAGAACGGCAGGAACAAACTAAGGCGCTGCGTACCACGACCGAGGCATCAAGTGCCACAGAAGTGACAAGCGGTGCGAAACTCGAAAACCAAAAGGCTCACTTCTTTAGCCCCAAAACTATCTTTGATAGTGGAAAGGATTTAACGGAAGCACTTGCTAAGGAACTGCTAGGTCCAAACAAACCCGAAAATGCTTCAACTATAGGAAGGAAAAAAACAAAGAGCGATAAAGAGGATAATTTTTTAAATTCGAAAATCGCTATTAAAGAAGCCAAAGATATCCATCAAGCCCTTGCTACTGAAAGGTCTCAGGGTCAAGCCAGCAATAATACTGAAATAGATCCTGACGAGCCGCACTTTCTCAGCCCTAAATCGATACTCTCCCTCAAAGAACAAATAACTAAAATTTTAGTAACGAATTTCCCAGGTAAAGATACACTTGCGGAAAAAGTGGGGTCACAAGCAAACAGCCAAATTCCATCGGCTACCGATGGTTCTTCATCTGCCAAGGTTGAAGCCACAATCGAACAGCCTGTAGAGATAAAAGCAATGATACCCCATGACGCACATTTTCCTAGCCCTCGGTTATCATATGGAATTCTTAAGGGATTTGGGGAGCTGGCTGTTAAAGCAGCACGATGGGAAGCGAAATCTAGCTCATCCAATGAGCCGAAGTCTCGAGTACGCCGACAGATTTGGAATCCCTTTCGCAGGCGACCTAGTCCTGCAAAGCCGAGCATCGGAGGGCCATTTGGGTTTGTGAACCAAAATGTTCCCTACGAGGCCCAAGGCTCCATAAACAGCTTTTCATTCGCACAAAATCTCCCGCAGTCATCAACGTTTCAGAACAACGACTTCCAGGGCATTCAGTCGTTCGTTCCAACTCCTCCCATTACGAATTTTGAAAAAGTCAGCGGTCCTCTTGATAGCCAATATCCAGGCACACCCTCAATTGGGCAGCATGTTATCCCTGGCGGCGCTGAATTTAGTTCCGGTAATAATCAGTTTGCGCAAGAGCCGGTTGTGAGTGGCCCGCCACCAACGAGACCTGTTAAGCGACCCGAGCAGGTACAACCCGTTGCTCCGAGCTCATCAATAGGTTCAGGATTACCACCACCGCATGTCATTGACAGTCTTCTAACCGAACTCAAGACAACCGGTCGGATACCGCCCAACCTGTCACCAGAGACTGCTCTTCTTCTAGCCGATATCCTGTCAGGCCGTAAGCAACATATTAGCGACGACAATAACCGTGTCCCTCACTTCAATTCGTCGCCAATGGCACCCGCGATCGATGTTCCCCATGGTCCATTTGTTCCAGAAGTTCCGCCACCGCAGACCCAAGTAAAGCCTCCAACGTACCACCGTGACCCAATGCCCGCGCCCAACTTTCACCAAAGTGCACAAGCATCACCACCAGTCACTTTTGGAGCTCTTCCCTCGCCTCCAAAGAGGCATCAAGGCACCGTCAGAGATAAGGTATGTACTGCCAAAGAGTTTGCTGAGCTACTAACGCAACTTTTACGTACCTTGGAATCTAAAAAACACAATAATAATTTTCTCTGTTTACACAAAAACTACAATCCACTAAGATGTGTTATATAACTGACTGAATAACCTTGACATAGTAATAAACATATTTAACAATATCCCCTTAACCCTGTACGAAAAGAACAACAGACTGCTAACAAGATGCTAGCATTAGTATATGCTTTTGCATTGCCTTAAATATAGATTTCTTTCCGTCACGTAACCTTGTTCCTCGTAAACTTTATTACTTACTTTGAATTCTTGGTGAGTGAGAATGACGGTGATCTTTTCAAATAACACGGTATGTTCTATCATTGTCGTATTTATTACGATTGAAAGTGTGATTGCGTCTGCCATCTTATAACCATCTTGCATGCTTAGGTGGTTCCTTCAACAACAAGTGGTGAGGTGTTATACCACCAGGACCGTGCACCAGTAACCGAACACGTGACCCCAATAGCTAGTGCCTCCCATGGACATGGGGGAGTCCATTTGAACGCCGAAGGGTTCCAGAGGCCACACAGTGTCACGAGGCTGCGGACACGCAAAAGGAATAAGGTAGGATAGTTTGATCTGTAGAAATGTCAATTGTCCAATGGTTACGCCCATTTCTGTAAATCAAAAACAACAGCTTGACTCAGATTCGCTTGTGAGCATTCAGCGGTAGGGTAATTTTGCTCGAGTAACTATTAAATAGGGAACTGCTAATAAGCAAACACTCGCGTTTCGTATTTGTATCATTATATTTTTTGAGAGTCAATCAGTTCCTTCAAAGTCTCTTTGTTTTATCTGGCGTTTACTGCACTAATCGATACCGTATAGAAAGCTTTGAAAAGGTAGGTTTTATCCTTAGGAAGAAAAAAGAAAAAAAAAGTAGAATTACGATTGCTGTAGAGATGGCAGACTTACTAGATTAATAACTATTCGTGGCAAAAATAAAATGCAAACGATTACTCAAATTCTATCTGCAATGAGAAAATGACGATACGGGCACGTAAATGTCTTACAACCCTCAAATAATGCAGTTATCTTATATAATTCACTTATTGCCAACATATATTTTATATTCTGTACCCTACACACAGACATATATACACTTACGAACATTTTTAGTGTGGGCATCAAGGTCACCTCGGAACCGATGAAGGTGATAGCTGAACTATGTACATGAGATGTGTACATGAGCAGGATTTCTAATAACACATTAAATTATCTGTGCCAGACTGAGTCAATTCATGTCCACAAATGTCATGTATTTATCGATTCGTTTTGCTCGTTCCATATAACACGTATATTTGTCCTGTCAAGGGTTTCGTCTCCAACCAATAGGTACTCTGCGAACAAAGTGTATTGCTTCGTGAAAGTCACGGCTGTACCGTATATGTGGTATGCCTTAGGAAGCAGATACCCTATGTTAAAAGTTAATAAGTTTAATTACGCTAGATAAGCCGCGATTCTCTGAAATATTGATCACCATTGTCACCTATCGGAATCAGCTCTGTTTCACCCGCATAAACGAACAATGTCAGTGTGTCAAAGTCTAAACTAATAAAGATCCAGTTGGTATTGTTCATGCGATACATATCAAAGTGCCATTGGCCGAATATTGAACAGACTCTAGGAGTCGCTATGTATGATTTTTTGAGAGCTACATGGCAACTATAATCCGATCCTTTCCGACGCTTAGTTTAGCGTTCCGTTTATGCGATAAAAAACTTGCTAAATTTACTCTCTAAGGGGTATCTTATATGGTAAAATAAAAACGAATTATACTGTTATCGTGTGCTATTTTTAGCCCTTGCCGACTTCGGTAACCTCCACGGCCTCAAAGCTTAGCTTGGCCGAACAAGCTGCTGAGCAAGCCGTGGAAAAGGACCACTCATCGATCTTTCCACAAGAGCATGTACATATACACCATCATCATAAACGCAAGAGGAAGCGTCCCACAGTAGCGCCCGCAGCCAAGATCCCGATTCCTGCTCCAGAGATCCATCTGTCTGAAAAGACGAAGGTTCTATCGACTCAGGAAATGGTTACACCATCGGAGACCTCCGTTCACAACCATCCTCCTCACTCGTCGGTGCATGACGGATCGCATTTTGCCGCACAGCATTCGAAGCCCGACGCTAAGGTCCACTTATCAGATACAAAGTCTCATGACCATTCCCCATCTGGTGAGTTAGCATGGAACGCTTCGTGGGAGGATGACAACCGTTATATCACCAGTTTTGGGACAGAGCCTTTATTCTTGTCGTAGAAGCGCTAAATGTGCTCCTCCAAGCTACCCGATCTCATCGATATTCCCATTGCAGTTTGCAGATACGGACCATTAATATGTTTTCGATTAGACGTCGCACAGAGATCATTGAAGTAGTGCTGCATATAGACAGAGATAAAGACTGTATCCGTTGGTGCAAAGTATCATTGATTTGAACGCTGCCATATCTGTGCGTCACCATACCTTAAGCGATTCGTACACGCTAGAGACATTGAATAAACAGTATTTATCTACATACTGTATGCTTAATGCTCCACAGTTCTATTTTGGTTACGAAATTAAATGAAGTATAGAGGCATTCCACATGGACTAATTGGTATATATGTACGACAAAAAAATTTCCATATGACCCTAATAATAATAATGAGAGAGTCAATTACGAAAAATTCATGGTCAACTCACCATGAAAAATTTGATGGCCCATTATATGCGCCAAATAGAAATAGTCAACGCCATCGTTCACTCTGCTTATTTTAGGCCATCAGGGTGTAAACATCCATAGTTCCCAATAATGGTATCTGTGGCGTCATTTATAGGCTGATCGTAAATACTATGGATCAACCATGAATGGTCGATGTGTCGAAGCGGTATATTATAATTATCTACACTTCTTTTTCCGTATATTTTATTCGGTATAAAGCAGATTAATAACAAAATGCTACACGAAACGATTAGATAACATGCAGCAATAGCATCAACATGCTCTATTTGGGATGTGGTTACATAGACGAGGTTAGGTATTATAATCAGGAAGCATCGGATCAACGTCTTTGCGGTGCCTGTACATATATGCTCTTTGTGCTCTCTGTTCTTTCTCTGTATAGGTGTCTTTTATGCTGTACAAGTAAGATTATTCAGACAATTTTTAGCTTATGTTTCATCTTCTCTTATTCAAATCGTTCCGTCCATTTCTGTTTTGTAACTCTGCTTATCGGCTGTCCTATGTAATGCTTGTGTGTCTACCGGTAATGTATATACGTGTTTCGTCGAGCCAATCGCTCGCGTTAACGCCACAGTCTGTTTTATGCAATTAACAGTATCGTACAAATAAATCATGACACGCCACGTTACTAATAATGTTGTACGTTATCGGGGTGTTGTTTTTTGTCCTCACTAACTCACTGTGCTCGTTTATGTAGCATAAATCGTTGTGTACGGCGTTACGGGATGTCTATTGTTTGTAATATGCTTGCTTTATTTTCTCATTATATTTTGTCGGAGTGACATGTATCATTTTCATTAGACCGCTAACAGATCATAGAGAAAAATTACCTTTTGTGATTATTCGACGGTCTTTACAAAGCAGTATCACATATCTGTAGTACTCGATTAATTAGAATAGGTGGTATAAAAGGGGCCTGTCCAATTTTTCGTTACATGCTAAAAATAGAGAATTCGATATTCTTCCAGTTTATCCATGCATTATATTTATGTGTGAGGTAAATAATTCGTTTCAAATTCCGTACTTAGCTCGAACGATTCTGATAGTCGATATTAAATTTAACGTATTCGAAAATACTTTTCTAACTTTCTTTAGTTATTTATTGTAATTACAGCAGCTCTTTGACCGCCGTGGATTATTCCATCAGTCCAAATACAGTACACCCCAATAGCAACAAATTGACCCGGGTTAAAAATGAATATACAATAAAGAGACGAACACTTCGTCTGAATAGAGGAATAATTGATTAGGTATTATGTGCTGGTAAATACATGATATGCGGCATCATTTCCAATCTGTTTTAGTCCTAAAAATAAAGAATGTATGTTCAGTGCACAAAACAGCACTTTCAGAAGCTACTCAACTATATCAGAGCTCCCTGAATGCATGCCAAAGATATTTCTAGGATAAGTAAGTTTCAAAAGAATTCCACTTCATTGCTGATATTGTCAACTACCTGAATTTGTCAACATTTTTTCTATATTGGCTTTCATGATCTCGACAAACCTCACCTATAACAGTCTGTATAATCTGTTGCAGCGCCCTCACTCGAAGCCGAGCTAAGTTCTGCGAGTAAGAATCATCCGATTACTGTAGATCCTCTTCAAAACATCGCTAATGATGGGGGCGGTTTGATTACCGACAAACACGGTCTGGCAAACGTTGCCGGCTCCGAATACTACGACGATCTCTCCCATAAAACTACAACAACGACAACATTCACACCCACAGTAGTTGACAGCCACATCAACGCCAACGAGGGTTCCGCATGGCCTGTCGATGATCCTTATTTATCACCACCCAGCTCAACGGAGCCGCCCGCTCATACCGTTGGGCCAGCTGACATTCTGATCCAGGATGCAAAACCAGGAATACCACTGTTAGCGTCTGACCTTAACTCTCTCAGACTGAAAACAAATCACAATAACCAACAGAGTGACAGAGGCAATGTTGCAGGTTCTGTCGGTAGCAGTAGCAATAAGGTCGATTCAATGCCCGCTCCAGTGTTCCGACCGGAGGCGCATGTTCCGACACATAACGCTGAGGACGAAGCTAAAAAGCAGGCCACCCAGGACGAGGACGAGATTTCTGCCGGAGCAGGCGCTATTCATTTTCAGCCGATTCAGACAAAGGAGGGCGACAGCAAGACCACGGGTAATGCCCAACTCTACCATGCTTACTATGCACCAGCCCACCATGACCCGCCACCGGGCTACATTCGAATGACCGTGGATGAGTTTAACAAATTGTTCAAAAATGCGGAAATTCAATTCATTGGCAGTGAGCAGGAATTACAGAAGAAGCTCGGCACAAAGCCGACAAATAAACTAAATTTCGACATCAACAATACGAGTACCAGTGACCTCAAGAAGAAGGAGAAAAAAGACAGCGGGAAAGACGAGAAGGAAAAGTCGCAGGACGAGTAAAACACTTCGAGTGTCGCTAAATTTTATCTCTAGTTCATAGAAGCCGCAAATACATATCATAGAAATATCAAAAACCGTTTAATCGAAGACGGCGATAAAGAGTACATCGACCAGTATATCTTCATTTACTATCTGTCATATATAAATTAAATAATTAAGTGACGAGAATGATTATGTACCATCGTCATAGAACGTGACACAATGATCTTTCCGTGTGCATATTTTCTGCACTGTGCTTGTGGATGTAACAAAGGATGCTAGTTTAGCGCAGTAGATACAAGGCGCACGATCGAACGATTCGTAGCTTACAAGGAAGTTAGCATGCCTTCAAAAAATGAATAGCACAGTTTTAGTAAATGGTGCCAAAACCTGAATTGCACGGTAAGAGTTATAGTAAAAATCGAAACAAATAATGGAGGCAGAAGGATATTGTAAATCTGTACAAGCTGTTGATTATGGTATTTTATGAATCTGCTCCTGCACATATAACTCGACTACTATGCACAATAAAGTGATTTGGCGTGAGCTCCATACGAAAGAGGCTCTCGATTTCCGCCTTCAGTAGCAATTTCGCTGTTAGGTTGCCCTAAAAGGGTTAATCAAATCTTTCGAATTGTTCACACCTTAGCTATCTCATCATGGACTAGTGGGGGCCGCAAATCCCCGCTTTTTTAACACCACCATGGTGTCAATTGATACAGCTATATTGTCCAGAATCATGCACCACAATTCTGGCTCGATCGATAAGCAACAATAGCTTGATCGGGGCCGAGTTCTACAAGAGATGAAGACAGTGATTGAGGTTTGAAACCAGACCGAATGAACTATAGAAATGAAAAGAGCTTTTTATTATGTTAAGGGCAATGCAATGTATTTATTAAAATGGTAGCGTTAGCTATAGATCATCGGTTAACGCGAAATACCCGTTTCGAAAGCAATGGGGATATTCGTAATAGTAAATAAAATTAACGGTACGGTACGTATTTCCATAAAATACATAAAGTCGCAACTTTGCTCGTAAAATATTTATTTTTGACTTAAAGAAAATGTCTATTTATAACAATGATCATGACAATGATGATAGAAGAGCAAGCTTATTTCACTATTCCAGAAGGAAAGGACAAACTGTTTCGGCGATCCTTAAATAAATATAAGCCGATCACAAAAATAATGGGATCATGCATTACGTATAATAACGATACGAAAATAATTTTTTAAAAAATTTCCCTGTGATACCACAGTCTTTATTTGTTATCTTTATAGGACGAATATTTTGAACAAGAATGCGCGGACTTAACTATATGGATACCCTTTTCATTTGGAAAAAGTTGTGTTAGAAGATGAGTATTTGAACGTATGGCATAAAAGTGTGACTATCAGCAATCACAGCTTTATTGGAGATGAAGGCTCGATCAATCCATCGTCAAAAATGCCTTTGTCCTGCTATGGCTTCGTCGACATTTTACGTGCCGAAACAATGAAAATCCCCGCATCGGATTTTCGTTCCTTGAGTCGTTGCCAGTCAAACCTCTAAATCTAAAAGTCCATTGAAGTTGTTCATCAGTTTGGAAAATATAGTTCTGTCGATCATTTCAATTTCTATTTGAGTAATAGGATACAGTCATTTTTCTAGTTTTGGCGATATTTTAAATATTTCTGAATTCTGAATGTGACAAAAATATATGCGCATCCTATTATCATAACGATATATGTACATGAATGGTTAAGGCTAATGCGATTCGCTAATGGTATCACACCTAAAAGGCATGCCTGTATGCTCATGTGTTAGTTCTGTACAAAATGTCAATGTCAAAGCATAATTGTTTAACCCAATTCCCGCAGTGCGATAATAGTGCGTATCGAAAAATGACTGTTAGAAATGTTTAGATCGTAGATCACTTCCCATTCGGTCGCTTGCTACCCCATAGGTAAGACGTATGTAATTTTAAGGTTAATTTTCTCCATATGAACTTCCGTAACATCTCATTCAGTAGAGACATATGTGGAGTTTGGCAAGCCTCTTGACAATCGGTAGGTCCACATTTTACGCATCTGAAAGTAGCAGGAGATATGCCAATTATTGCAATAGAGAGTGGGTTTATTCTTAGAACGCATTTGTAATAATAGCGCTAATGCCATCTCTGTATTTCTATAATATTAAGTAACAAGCCTACTATAAAGTGTCCTGATATTAATTAAGAATGGCAAATGTAGTTAACCAAAAAAAGGAATGTTGCAGTAAAAAAAATACTTGGGTGAGCACAATAAATAGTATAACTATCAGATTTTAAGCATGTAATTGCATTAAGACGTCTCTGTTAGTTACGCCGTTGAATCGGCTTTTTATTGCAATAATTTCCTTATTTCCCACTTTTTTAACGAATGCAAATTTAAGAGCTCATAGCCCCCGAAGGACTTTTTTGAGCTCTCGAGGAACTTTTGCCTTACCTTCTATTTACAATAAAATGATCGCAAGAAATACAGATTACTTAAATAAATATTTTTCCGCTTCTGGCCGGTCGTGGGTATAACACCCTTCAGCCGACCGGTTAATCGCTAGTCGGCAGCGTCGTAACTCGTCATTGCTGCGGTATATACTATTTTTTTCCTACAAATATCTTTTTCTCTTACATTATGCGGAGATTTGCGAATCACCAAAATATCTTATGTACGCGGCTAATTTGTAGGCTGTGCCAACCGGACACTACCTTAGTAGCTAACAGAGTGGTACGGCGTCGAAATACGATCTTGTTAAGACCTCCTCATTACTCAGACATCAGCTTGTTTTTCTGTGTGTCCTGTGTTTGGTAGTTTTGGCGGGAAAGTGTAACACATGTGCCGGTGAGCATTAGTGCTCCATATATCGTTTATCGGTCTCTATGCTATAAGGAATTCGACGTATTTCTGATAAACTGATGTCCGAAATCATCGAGCGTTGTACAGATTTTTGCCAAGTGTTCAATCAATGTGCTACCAATACTGAGGCTCTAGCTCGTCACGTTAGAATGTACTTAAACCTTGAGTGTGTAATTGCGTTAATAACTGTTTTGTGAAAAACGTCAAATATATGAAAAAAATAAAATACTGTTGACTTCTCGTCATAAATCAAAAACCAAGCGTATGGAATGGAGCTGGACAGTGATGCTGAAATTAATCTCAAACGGACACTGGAGCTGGATCAAGAGTCTGGTAAGGACGCTTGTAGGACCATGGTCACCTGGCGAAAACATCGATTCTAATACAAAATGAGTTTCAGTCGGGGACTTTTATATCACAGCCTGTTTGCTCCACTGAGACTTCCTTTAAGCATTTTTGGTCCTTGTAAGATGTTTACAGTATGGGCGATTTACAGGCTCGAACTTTCCTATCATATACAAAATTTATTTATTACAGATTTTAATGTCAATAAATCTGTCAAGAATAAGTGTCTTGGATTTCGGGTCTAAATTTCGGAATTCGTTTAAATTCTAGCAAAAAAAAGCTCGAGTAATAATAATAAATACTCTGAACTTGAAGTAAAGAATACAATTCGTTTATGAAATTGATTATAGATGAAAAAGAGACGCCAAGTCTGTGTGTTTCACCAAAAAAAAACTTGCTTGGATATTTTATATAGCAGGTATACACGTTCTACATTCGCGTAATTGTTTATATTACGCTATTACCACAGCTTTGTATTACATAAAAACTTCAAGTGTCGTTGAGCAGGGTTGAAATAGAAGTGCTATAGGAATTCCTTTTTGTTTCAGAAGTTTCGGTGGCAAAACGAACTCGAACCTTTAGCCCGCTTGGAGAGCTGAAAATTGATTTAGGTGAAGACGTAGAAGTAGAGGGGTCCCTTTCCGTCCGGCCGCGTACTAGTGGTAACGGTGGCTCGGGAAGGGAAGCACTAAAGACAGACGTTCTGCGGACCGATGACGATGAGCTGCCGTCAACCTCGTCAGGAATTCGTGATATGGTGAATAAGTTCCCTGTACGTGGGAGTAGCGGGCGACTCCAGTTTGTCAGGTGAGGAGTGTAAATGTTTGCGAAATTCGGCCGGCAAAAGCGGATACGCGTCCGTTCGAATATTGCGCAAATATGTATCCTTGATGTTAATTTTTATGTATGATATATGTACACTAATAAACTTCTATATACCACGACGTCTTATTTTCACGTCCTTTAGTGCATTGCTTTTGCGGCGAGTTTCATCTAATTCAACTATTACTCGAATGATGCATAAATTTCTATTCATCGGTGTTTTATTGTCATATTAGTTTACACCTGAGGTATTTGGACATAGTCGTTCCTAGCAGATGGATTTCGGGCAGACAAATTATTCCGTCAACTCATTCGTTTGGAGTCTCTGTTTTTCATATTTTATAGAAAAACATGTTTTGTTCTAGCTCGCTTTGTCCTCTCCAAGAGCTTTCTATGAATAGGCAGTTCTTTCTTCTAAATGCTCTGAATCTTGTGTACGGAATAATCTATTTTCAGACAATACAGTCGACGTGTGTTAGATAATTTAGAAAACCCTTCCAATGAAAATACACGGCCATCTCTCTTAAGCAAACCTTTTTGGGATCTGTTTCAAGAAGCCGAAGAAGAGGTCAGGATTCTATTACGCTTCCTTTTGATAGACTTTTTGTATTAGAAGGGGAAAACACAGTATTAATCCTGTGTTAACAGTAATTCACTGATGTCTTTAACAACACTTGTGACTTATTATTAGAAACAACTCTATGTAACTCTACTACAACACAATAGATTAATTAAAAAATTTCATGGATTAGGACTAATTTGAGTATTTGTTTTATGCTAAATCTTCTATGTTTCTAATTATATTACCATTTGCTATCGATCGAGCTAATTTGGTATTTTTAGTTCTAATCTTTCATGTCCATTTTTTATAGCTTATTAGGCTCTCGCATCTTGACACGTTGACAAATGATATAACTATGCCTGAAGGATGTCAGGATACTGGCCAAACAAGATCTGGAGCTCAAAGAAAAGGTGGTAACAACATTATTACAACAGTGTGAAAATAGATACCAAAATAGGGAAATTGTACATCACAATGAAAATAACTATTAATCTAAGTAGATAGCATAGTAATAGTAAAATGTATATAATAAAATAATGTTACTTCTTGACACTAGGTAAACGGCAGTTTTTCAAGAACGCGCTTCAGGAGTCTGCTTAAAGGCGCGTTTTTTGAATATTGATATTAGAAAAGTAGGTATCTTATTTACTTGTTTTGTTGTCCTTCAATAGCTTCCCATAGCATCGAACGTTATTGATAAAGATCGATAGTATAGTTACTTAATGGACCGAGGATTCATGTTGTTGCCTCTTTATCAATTTTGTTAGATCCACATATTTTTTAAACTGAGTCTATAGGGATACACGAGTCGCATACTCCCTTCATGTGTCAAATAGCGGGTACGGAGTTAGCATAGTTAAAAAAATGTACGTAAAAAATATATATATACTCCAGTTTGACCTTAATATGCATATTGACAAAAATAAAAATGCTACATTACTCATTATCAACGGGAACAATATTGAGCTAGAGTTGTGCAGAGGGTCTTTTTGAGATGCATATATTTTTTTGTTCGATACAAAAGTATCTTAGCTTATCTTTGTCGAAAGTTGCGCCATGCTAACAGTAGAGAAGTATCTTTTTTAGAAAGCCACAACGATGACGCCCGCGCCGAAGGAGATCTTTCGGTTGGAATAAGTGGTGATAATGATACTGAAAAGTGTCCGTCCTTACTTTGGGCTGACAAGTATCGACCTCGAGGCTTCATGGACCTGCTCAGCGATACAGTATGCATACTTCTGCCATATACTTTAATAAAGAGAAAAAAACGTTTCCAACATAGAAAGCTGTGTAGTACTAACTTAAATTAGTAAATATACACATGTTTTTGGTCTGTCGGCTACGTGTTTTTCTCTTTCATAGGCAATAAACCGTCTCCTTCTTCAATGGATAAAGCTATGGGACGAATGCGTATTCAACCGTCCTATTAAGGTATATTTTATCATACTGTATAACATTTACCTATTATAACATTTTTTATCATACTATATAACATTTACCTGTCATAACATTGCATCCATTTTAATACTAGCATCGTCCAAACTAGTTAAATAGATCTTGGTTGCTGCCTTATTTACATTTATCTCCTCAAATCTTTTAAAACAGACATAAAAATTGCTAAAATCGTGGATTGGGTACGCGGATAAGTGTTCATATCTATGTGTAGAAATATTACTCATCATTCAAAAAAGTGGCAAATGCAGGTAGCTTAATTTTATTTTTAATCTTCACGGTAACATTGTAATTACAGGCAACCCGCGAGAAGGCTGAGACGAGACAGGACACGGAAAATAGATTTAAAAACAAGGATTTCGCAGCTAGGTTTATCACTTTTGTTACCCAGAAGCAAAGAAATAGACAAGGCTTTAAAATGTAGTGCTAGAGCTTCAAAGTTATTAGATGCGTGTTCTTTCGATATGGGTAGGCCTTCGATGGCTTCACCCTTAACATACATGCGAACGAGAAATCTGTGGGTTTAACAAAGATAAAAATCTACATCTCATACATCTGTTGGTCTTTGAACTAAACCCCAAGGAACCCCAGCTAAAACTTCTAGGAGGGGGCAGGTTTTTGATACTACACCGAAGATATGACTCCGATAAAACCACAGATACGATAAAAAAGTGTTAAACATGAAATCTCATACATCTACGATCTAGTATTTCCCATGGTTTGCCATAGTAAACTTGCATGACTGGCCCGTTTTCTTAATTTCGGTATTTTTTAATTAATTAAATTAATTAAGTTGATTAAAATAACTATGACCTGTAACAGGAACCCATTCGTATCAGAAATAAGCACCGAGTTGGACAAGTGGAGAAGACCGATGCAGCCTGTAGTTCTACTCGCTGGACCGCCGGGTCTAGGTAGGCTTCTAGTTTTTATACTGCCGACCAGCTCGCTGCACGCTTCTTCACATGCAAAGGAGCACATCACATTAGCCAAACTTTGTTAGCGTTATATTAAAGAAGATGCGTTAGTGACTAGTAGATTTGTTGAGAAGAACTGAATGGAAAATGATGCGAAAAGGATATTACGATTACCCACTTCAATTTTACCGTACTGCACGGTCGTAATTAGCAATCAGTATGGATCAGTATTTTTCTCAAAACAGCTATTCCGAGGTTAAAAAAATTTATTACGATTTTCATCGATTTATATGGTGACACGTAAACGATGCGTCGATTTTAGGTAAAACCACCCTTGCTCATGTTCTCGCACGTCATTCGGGTTACAACATCGTCGAGCTGAATGCCTCTGATGATCGGAGTCCAGATGCGTTTCGTTCAGCGCTGGAAGGCGCTACTCAAATGAAACCCGTTCTCGACCGGGAATGTAGACCTAACTGTCTAGTCATTGACGAAATCGGTACGACAAATTAGTAAGTCCTTTATACAAACAGGTGGGCAAAAATATCGAGCTATGATGTCTATTTAGAAACTCGCAACCACACATTATTTTAGTGCTGACAATGTTCACATTATCGTAGAACTATACCAACTTTGTGGCCCAATACATGTGATACTGTCACATGGACTGCACTTTCGAATCCAACCTGGAGAAGTAAATCTAAAATAAATTTGCAGATGGCGCCCCGGCCCAGTCGATCAATGTTCTTCTACAGATGCTGAGGTCCACGAACGGTGATGGGTCAGAATCAGGTGGCGAAAAAAAGAAGAAAAAGAAGCCAAAGGTGAAAGATCTGTACAGGAGTTTGCTTGACAATTAGATGCGTCTTCAAGGGCTTTCTTGGCTTTCGTTATTAGAGACACGATTACATACGAAATATTGCTTGTTATGGAAACATCACGCGTTGCATCATCATTACAATTTTACTGAGTGAGCTGTTCAACTCAGTTCTTTTTTTAATCCACATTGCACTTACTAAATTATTGATGTGATTCATTATTTCAGGTGTTACTTCGTCCTGTGATCTGTATCTGCAATGAAGCCTGGGGTCCAGCACTGCGCCAGCTACGGCAAACTGCCCTTATGCTACAGCTCCCACAAACGCAGTCTAATAGGTAAGTCCTTCAGTTCTCTAGTTTCCCAAATTATTAGATATTTGAAATTTTCGAAAGTAACTCAATTTAAAGCACATTTCATTTAAACTGTGGATGGCAAAAGTGTATGTAGATTGTAAATAGATCCAAATTATGGAATTATAATTTAGATTTAGCTGTGAGGACTTAGAAATTTTTTGATATGATTATTTCATAATTGTCACTACAAAATAAATCTGCTTAGTCATTCTGTCCTGTTTAAAGGCTGAATAAATCGGCTGGCAGTTCGTTTATTATACCTTGCAGCCTGCAGTCGTTACTTTTTTTGATTATGTTTGTTTGTTTTAATTACGACTTGATAATTTTTTATTTCCGTCATTATAATTTATACTGTATTATATATAACTTGAATGCCATGCTTCAGACTGGTGTTCCGTTTGCAGGAAGTACTTCGCAAAGAACGTATGAAATACGATAGAGCCGCTCTACAGGCTCTCTCCGAGAAGACAGGTAAACAAGCAACTGTAGGAGCAGCCATGCATGAAAGCATTGTCAGCGCTTCCAATTTTTTTTATTACAACTTCCCAAGACTACGAAAACGCATATTGTTCTACATGCGACAATTCTAAGCTTGCATTTTTACTGTTTTTAATTGTCTTTTTTATATAAAAGAAACGTCACACCCATATTTATTTTAGGCAACGACATTCGAAGTTGCCTTTGCACTCTTCAGTTTCTGCAGGCACGTAAGGGACAAACGGGAATGATTAGCATGACCGACGTCGCTGGAGTCGCCGTCGGAGACAAAGACATGGAGCAATCGTTGAGCAATGTTGTTCGGAGTGTATTTAGTAAGCCGACAGGAAACCCAAACTATTCGACCGCAAGTCCTGCGTAAGTTGGAAGGGAGGTTTTCCCCTTAGGGGTTAATTGTTCTGCTAGCGTAGTAATAGCACCCAGAATTTCTTAATAATGCTCAACTCGAATTTCAGAAATCGTCAACGTAGATCGCTGTCTGTACTAATGCTGGCACAGTCGTTTGGTGACTACGAACGTCTTAATCAAGCACTTTTCGACACGTTAACGGCGAAACCTTGCAGTGATTCCGATATTACCGAACAGCTGGTGATTGGTTCGTACTCAATAACTCATTGACCTTACAATATTTTCGCCTTAATATCATATATTAGGCACAAACAATTACCATCTTCTGTTTTATCCTACAAATAGGTCTTAATTGGCTGTGTTTTGCCGATCAACTGAATGAAACAACACACCGAATGCAACATTATGCTCTTATGGCGTACGGACCATTTATGGCACAGAAATGGCAAGGCTTGTTCGCTTCAATCAAACCAGTAAAACCGGTCATAAATAACTCATTTGCCGAGGTAAATAAATACGATTGCATTTGATTGCTTGATTCATACAATACATTATAGTGCTATATTGGAAAATCTTTTCCCACGCAACTTCCATGGACTTGTTAGTGTTTTGGTAAAATTTGCGCACAAGTCACAGCATTTTTTTTATTGATTCATTTTATTACAGAGTATAAAATTAACACATTTTATTTGCAGTTTCGACAACGACAGATTCGTCTCTCGAGTCACTGGGCGTCTCTAATGTCTTTTATTTCGCCTGCTTTTCTCGCTTACCATTCCGGGATCTCTCTTCTGGTTGATGTTATGCCCTTAATCATTGGGATCATCCAGCCACAGGTAGTATAAGCGCACAAACCAAACGGATTCACAAACATTTTACTGCATCTTCTCTCGATATAAATGGGCAGTTCGATACACAAAGCCATGCTGTTTCGCGCAAAAGTTCGACCTACCTCTTGCTTAAATGTTAAGTTGTCGAAATTGAAATACGCATAATTTTATTAAATGAGATAAAAGAATGTTCTAGTATTGTCGAGCATAAGGTATTAAGCTTATTAAGTAATGAAAAGTTTGACAAAGTTTTCGATGTCGATAAAAATCGTTTGGCAATTGGACATACAACCCGCACAGCGGGTTTTATACAAGCAAATTACCGAGGAACTCTCTAGGTTAAGGGCGCAGAAGATTATTGCTCTACATTTCAGTTCAAATAATCACAATATATACAATCCAGTCGGTTTGCGGTTACAGATGAGATCTTCAAATGTGCAGTTACTAAATGACGCTGACCGCCTTGCGTTTCGATCAGCTGTCAACGTAATGGCTTTATTCGGACTCGTATACCAACAACGCATGATCGACGGAGAATACGTGTTTCAACTTGAACCGTAAATAAGTCTGAAATTTCCTGAAATATTACTAATAATCAAGTGAATTCGATTTTTAACTAGCTGATCATGTCTGATTAGTTTGTAGCACTCATATATGATGGGATGGACTAGGCCATGAAAGCTGACTGTTGAGTTGAGCGTTTGTTCCTTGATTACGACCAAGCCAGTTGTTATTTATTATGTATTCTGGGTCGTTATACTCGGCTAGCGCTACCAGTGGCTGTGTCCGCACAACAATCGCACGTCCGCCGTTCGGTTACGGCCGTCGTAACCTAGCGTTCTACCGGTATAAGGTTTCTGCTGTGACGCCTTTCAAGCGGCTACCACAGTCATCTTTAGACAGCGCCCTTCCCGCAGTCTTTCAAGAGTTCTGGCGCTCATATAATTCCATCTGTTGTCATTTGCTGACGAAGCGCCTCTGGACTGAGGTCTTTACGATGACGGAAAAGTCCGTCCTGTGTTATTTCGAGCAAAATTTGGACATAAGTTACAGCCCGACGCTGGCGCAATTGCTGAGGTACTGTTCCAAATCTGAGAAGGGCGCGAGCGGACAAGATACGGCATAAGTATCGATTTACACGTTAGGTTACACGCAGCAGTATCAAAGTTAAAAAAAGGAACCCGTGACCCAACGTATGAGGTTTCGAGATACCTTCAAGTGTACGGTCAAGCGGAAAGGAATTCTGCTATACGTTCTCCCGTCTCACACAGAAGAAGCTACCATTTCTTTTTGGTGGGGGATTGTAGAAAATGACACGGTGCGTGGACGTCCAGTAAATGTTTTAAAGTTCAAAAGAGCGCTGCCGTATGAGGGCATCTGGGAAGAATTAACTCGGTGAGAGTTTTGCTAATAGTAGAAACGGAATCTAAGGAGAAGCGATAGATTGCATCCAGTACCTTCGAGAACCTTATCTTCCAGAAGATAAGCCTGGACTTCATGGGCCTTCTAAAAGCCTCTAAGAGAAAAGTCTTTTGTTTTATTAATAGTCAGCTATTGTACTTACTTCGCCCAGCTCGTGCTAGTTTAAAAGCCGACATCTACTGGTGTAGTTCGGAATTTAGAAACATCGCGATGCTTCTTCGCAGTCTTCAGCTTGATAACGACGAACAATTACGTTTTACATCAGGAGATGTGACGGGCTACCTCAGCGAAGCAACACCCGGTAGATTCTGATAGCTATCGAGCGTCCAGGTTGCAGCGGTCTGGTCGAACGCATGGTGTAAATGGTTGCAAGCGAGAACAAGGGCAAACGCCTCTTAAGCTACTTTTCGGCTACCAAGCCATATTGCTCGGGAAGTGAAGACGCCTGGATCGGCTGCGGGAGATGAAAAAAGGTCTGAGCAGAAACCGTTTATTTGCCCGGAGTTCAAACACGGCTCTAGAGAATACTTGGTCCGAGAAGTTGCATCTGTGCTATCATGGCCCATCTGTTATAGTGAGCAGGGTGATACTACACAAATGCATAGGGTCGTCATGAAAACGTTAAGGACTGGCGGTACTTAAGATAGTAGAAAGTCATGCATCATTTTTACAATCGTTCTTTTCTGCCCATCATAGAAATTTTCATATATTAATAAAAAAAATAGCGACAGTTCTGACCCTTCCAACAATTATATATAATATTACTTTGATGAACTTCAGGAACTTAGAAGACCTTGTGCGTTTCCCCGGAATCGCATCACGCTTTACACCGCTCTCGTACGCTACCAAAATGATGTTTTCACGTGAAATCGAACTGAATAAGGTAAAAGAAGAATATAAGAAATTATCTTGCGAGGTATCATGAAAAGTTTTATTTTTGCACTCATTTATGAATATTATTATAAGGGCATTAGTAAAATGACATTTCCTCATATTGGCACTGGTTGTTGATCACAAATAAATTTAGTATACACCCATCACAATCCAAAATTAGCTGTTTAAGACTATTTTAACATAATTTATTATCTTCTAGAGATCTGTCTCTTGCTACCTTCAAAATCCAAACCCTGACGAAGCACCTCGCACAATTCGAATCAGTATAATATGAAGTTAGCGTTTTTTATCATGATCATGCTATACCATACGGTTATTCTCCTTCGTTGCTATATTTTTAAAAAATGATTAATTTGGTTCTTGGTTAATACTTTTTATTTGGTGTCTATAGATTCGTCAAACAAACGAAGTTGTGTCAAGGGGAACACGCAGAAAGAGTCCTGAAGTGTCAGCTGTTAAGAAAAGCAAACCACAACTGGATATGATGAAAGACGCCGAAAAACCTAGAAAAGATTTCTTTGGCAGGCTGATTCAGCCAAAGGTTAGTGTTACTAATAGCCATAACAAATGACTTCGTGTGAAATTGTCTAACACGTTGTATTGCAACCATGCCATCCATAATTAATACGTCGATGATAAGATGCGCTCCTATGCGATACATATAGATCTGTGTAATCTATTAAATTTAACCCTAATCATTTGAAAAGAAACAAGAGCCATAAAGCTACAAACGTCATTGTTGGCATTCACAATTAGGATCTGAACTAATGTCTGTCATGTTACGCCGGCATAAAGTCCCATTTCGCCCTAGATGAGATAAATGGGTACACTGAGCGTCAAGAAGATCTCAAAAGAAGTAGCATTGAATCCACTTTATCACCGCCATACAGAGTAGCAAGAAAAGTGTGATGGTGCTGGAATTTGGTTTCTAGAAGTGCAAGTTAATGATACATAAACAGTCACACGTCACTAATGGAAAATGTTTGTCATCCTTATACATTTGCGACAGCTCAAACAAGAGAGCAGTGATGAAATGACGGCGCATGCCTCCCACAATGGCCAGAGGCTCAAAGAAGTAGTGGGAAAAGAAGCTGAAGGCAACACAGAAGCCTCTGGAATCTACTACAAGTTCAAAGAAGGATTTAGTAACGCAGTTCGGAGAACACGCAAGATCAAGCAGGTCTTATAGTAGTATAAGCAGATGTACGTATAATTGAAATCGCTTTTAGGTGTTTTATTCTTCTAAAATAAGCTATGTAGCCACAGGGTTAGTAAATTTTGGACGCAATGAAATATTATGAAATGCATCTGATATCGCACTGATCTTGTGTGTCTTTTTATTTATCTCATTAATGTTCCCGTTGAACATTTTGAACAACGTAGTACTATGCTAAGCTGTTATTATCTGTAACACACTTCATGTATCTTGAATACTTGACTTGCATATACATTGAAATGAAAAGACGAATCATGTGCTGTGTTAATCATTGAAACATCATTAATATATACTCAAATTACGAAAATTATATATTCTCTAATATTCAGTAAACGTTGTTATGTTACTACATTTCAATGTACATGTGCACATTAAATTTGCCATCGGCTCCTACTCTCACGAATCTGACTTCCGAATCATTACTTCCTTATCCCGTATTATTTGTAACTCTTTCATTTTTTCTCTAGGTAGATTAAGAGGATATTCATGAAAGTTTGCCAGATGGATGGTTAGTGGAGCATCGATGTGAGACGACGACCAGATCTTGTTTTATCATATTTTTTTTTCCTGAAGTGTCTCATGGACATAAAAGGTTAATTTACTTTACTAACTAAATGGAAAATTATTGATAAATCTTACAAAGAATGTAGGTGAGCAAAAAAACTCATTCACATGATGCCAAGACGCTGTGTTAGAGTTTTGGCACCACTGCAATTGCGTGCTAGTGTCGTTTTGTGTTCAAATGTTAGACAGTTTATCGTTCGGTAGCTATGATACGTGTGATATGGTTAGTGATTTGCTTGATCAAACATTTCTCCGTAGTTTTGTCGACTGCTGACAGAAATATGAGTTAGGACTAAAATTTCGCAGAACGACTACTTCCCTTTTTTAGATCTTTCTACCGTCCATTTTTGTGAGAGCATCGGGCTGACTAAAAGCTATCTATAAGCATGACTCGATACTCCCTTATAATTTCTCACGCTAACGCAAGTGTGGGATATATATTCAAGATAATTGATTCCATAGAGTTTTTTCGTATTCTGATATCATATTTTCCTCACAGAGCAAAAAAGATAAACTTTTCTTATTTATATAATAGCTTACAAATACTGTTTGCATAAATTAATGAAATAAGAAACGTATTAAACAGCTTCTCAAAGTATTTGGCCAGAAGTATAAGGTCCAAAAATGTCATATCGCCAAATTTTATAATTTTTTTCAAAAAGAAAACAATTATATTGGTATAAGATATTAAGATAGGTTCAGTTTCTATATTACAAACGATATGTGATTGCATTGTACCGCCGTTTAGTACGTGTCAAGCATGATAGATGGTATGTATTTTAAATACATGTCATTCAAGCAGGACAATGACACTTTCCACACTTTGCGTGAAACAACAGCATTATTGCAGGATACCTTCTGGTCGTATAATCTCTTGTTTTGACGGTTAGAATCAACGTTGTAGATCGGGCGACTTTTTGCCGCGGAGTTCTCTTGAAGTCATCCCGATAATCGATCTAAGTCGATTGTACTTACGATTATCCAAGTCTCTAAAGGAGGGATTAGACGCTGTATCACCGAGATCCAGCCACAATCACTCCAAAAAAGGTTTGTCACGAAATCCACAAGAGTGCTGGCAAAGTGGAAAAGAGCATTTTTTTAAAATTTGTTTCTTTGTACATAATTCCCACACCACAGGTATATCATGAAGATTTTAGTTTAACGACAAAGAACAACATTATTTTGAATGTTTAACTTTTTTTTGGACAATAATAGAACATAACAGCGCTTACAGATTCAAATCGAATAGCGTTTCTTCCTGTCGAAATATGCAGTGTTTTCCTACCACCCGAAATGACCTGTGCTTCGTTGCCTCGCTGTTACCATTTACCTGTTCTGATCAACATGCACTTGTAGTCGGCCTAGTTCTTTACAAGCTAAGACATAAAACTGTGGTTTTAATAGACTTTTCTACAGTTGCTATTTTGATCGCCCGATTTTATAGTAAATATCGTTAAACTTATGGTTGTCGCCGCTGGTTGTACAAAAACATTGTTGTTGTTCTTGTTGTTATAATTTGCAGATCATACGTTAGGTCATTCTTCTATATTGTCTTGCGCTGTTTCGCGCTTTGCGTTTCAGTAGCTACTTCTTCTACTAGACGCCGCCCCTGCCAGTGGGCTTGCTGATGATGTCTTCATGTCCACGACGACATTTTCTGAAGTTTTGCTCTACTTCTTTTTCCCTTGTGCACCCCCAGCCCTTTTGCCTGTTGTTCACCAGCATTTATACACGTATCAGCGGATTTGTTATTTTTCGCGCTTGGAATATTTATGAAGTAATCTATCGGTCAAAACAAATTCATAAATCGTCTCGAGAAACAAGGACAAAATCGACGACATCCGAAACAAAATACGAATCAAATTGACAGATCCGAGGGGCATTGATTCTTGTTCCGTCACTTCTCATCTCTCCTATTCACAACCTATAAAAGGTGTAACTGATGGGGTCACTCTTAAAGCAGCCATCTTAACCGCAATTTGGATACAAGTAACAATGATCATAGCAACAATCCAACATTGTGCAATAGCAATCCATCGTACGCAATTGCTAGTGAGGATATGTTCTGCCGTTGAGGTGCATGATATCTATGTGACAACAAAAAAACACAAGAGAAAATGAGACAAATCTTTTCCTTAGCCCTTTAATGTGCACACATGCATATTCACCCATATAATTGAATTAGGAAGCAGCGTCGTGCTATGTGATTTGGCATCAGTAGATAAACACGTTAATTTCTAATGGTAGTACATAACCCAATGGTATGATCAGAAGTGGGAAAAATATAGTAGTTCAAAGGATATCGGTGCATCAAAGTTTAATTATGTTGGTCAAAAGGTTTCTATTTAGATGAAAACGCTTGTAACTAAAAAGAACTTTGAAAATGATTGAGCTTATAAAATCACGAAATTGCGGTGTTTCGATCTTCAAGTTTTGAAACTTTGATTCCAGGTTACGTTGCTTCAATTAAAATTTGAAGCTGGAAACAAGAAGCTGACTATGAGCACTCAGAAAGAAACACATAATATAAAAAAACAACAACATAAGAAAGTATTAACATAATACAGCAGTTGATAGACATGTGAAAATATCCGGAATACATCCCTTTGACGATAAACATTAGGCTTTAGGCAAAAAAATCTGTCGCGATTTTTTAGTTTTTTTGTCCCTTTCCCATGTCTTGACAAGTGTTACATAAATGCAATGTATTTGCCAAAGTACGCTGAACTTTGCAATGTTCTCTATCAGATAGCACATGTTGACTATCTGTCGGTGCTAGGCTTGCTTTCAGCCGCATTATATTAACTCCTAGCTATGGTTTCCTTGTAGTCTTGTCGCTCTTGCAGTATTTTGTAGAAAAATTGATGAAGTTTGTCACAAAGGTAATACGTTTTACGTCTGACTATACAGGGCCAGGCGTTTTAGTTATTCTAATAGTCACAAGTTATCCCAAAAGATTAAACGCATATATATATGCGTGTGTAGAATCATCACTTTTGGCTGTGACACATGTGACAGTTTTATATATGACACAGGTATTGAATAGGAATGCTCGTTGTTGTAACTGTTTCCAACCCTTTGCATTGTGCAATAAAATATGAAGTCTTGTAAAACATGGTGGTTTTTTCAGCCGTTAGGTTCGGCGGCAGAAACAGAGCACAAGTCAGAAAATAGAAAAAGGACAATGCATCCTTTGTTGCCGACGCCCATACTTGAAGCTCAAATTCACGCCGCCGTCATCTGAGCGATATCGGTGGCAACCCTTTCTAAAGGCGATAACAGCCGTTCAAAGCGATTGTCGCGATGTACCGTTGTGCTTTAGGCTGTCGTTATTGTCCTGTCACTATCGTTGTATTCGCTGCCAGACTAAACAATAACAACAACAACAACAACGACCTTTTACAATAACCCTACCCCACAAACTAGAAAAATTGAGACTTGCCATGAGCAGAAACGTCGAGCCATTAGGTATGTTTTTAATGCTGGTCAGGTAGAACCACGACAATATGTTCGCACTGTTAGTATCTCTTTTTGAAATGCGACAAGCTGCGGTCCGTACTGCGTGAGCTCGTATAAGCATAGAGCGTAAATTCGTCACAGACAGTATTCTTATCTAGTGATGAACTATGTTGAAGACAAGCGTCGATTGATAGCCGGCGTCACCGCATCTACACAGAGCAATTCAGTATATTTAATATCTATCTAAACTCTAACCGCAGAAAAGATGTATCGTGATTAGTTGTCAGAAATGATCCTGATTTGTAGTTTCTGCGTCAATAGGCATATGGCTATCATACCAACTAAATAGATTTGCGATTCCTCCGCACGTATTGTAAGTAAGCACAATATGAACATAGTAATGTTCTAAATTATTGGTTCATGTATTTTTCATGCTGAAGGCACAAAATATGACGCAACTCAATCTGGCCTAAGTTCAAAAGCGATGATACACCTTCTTGCGCTATTAGTATTCTGCTTTTTAGTTTATATTGACCCCTAAAATACCTTCGCTCCGTTCCTGCAAATAATTCTCTACATGCTGCACTGAATGGGAGTACGTCCAACGGACTACGAACGTGATGAGGATTTTTAAAATATGCCCCACATTGGGCTCCCAAGACAGATTGTCTAGACTAAGCTTTAGGAACATAAAGTAAGATCTTAAAAGTTTGTTAGAGTTCTCATTTAACCAGGCATAACAAATCATATATTTTTGTTACTTTAACCATACACTCATTTTAGGCAAATAGGTCACAATTAGCCTGCTCATACGTATAGAAATACGACCGAACAAAACACTTGTAGATTATTGCAAGCTATCGCAGGGCATATTCTATGGAGAGTGTGTGCGAATCGAAACACAGGTGTAAAGTGTACAGTATTTCTAACAACAATATAAACGAATTAATATTTTCGTACGGGTCCTTTTCTGTGTAGCTCACATCGCGCATCAGCAATTTGTTAATTCAAGGAGTGCACGACCTTCATTTCCTACCTATGACAGTAATTAATCGTAGTGACCAAAACATCTAATGCTATCTACCTATTAAATATTAGATATACGGCCATGTGTAATAATAATATAGAGAAAACAAAGTTTACTAGTATCGAAAGAAAAAAAGTGTTAATTCAGAAAACGAAGTTGTTCATTATGAGTCGAAACTGAAGGGAGCAGCACACTCGCTCTTAGAAAAATGTCGTTGTTATATCCTTTCTGTGGTGCCCCTACCGCCGGCTTCAGATCATGTCACAGCTGTAAAATCTGAAAGCCTGTCTCGGCAATTGCTTTAGTCTAACGTGTATAGCTCTTCG